CTTATGCATGCTCACAACCACACACAAATAGAAGCAGGGATGCTTATGTAGGCTTTATATGTAGATATATAGATCCATCCATCCATTATCTTTACCCGTTTATTCCATTTTGGGTCACGGGGGTCGCTGGTGCCCATGTCCAGCAATCACTGTGCGAGGGGCGGGGTACACCCTGGACGGGTCGCAAGTCCATCACAGGGACACATAGAGACAAACGAGACAAACAACCATTCACTCTCTCACTCACACCTAGGGACAATTTAGAGTTACCAATCAGCCTAACATGCATGTTTTTGGTCTGTGGGAGGAAACCGGAGTACCCGGAGAAAACCCACGCATGCATGGAGAGAACATGCAAACTCCACCCAGAAAGGCCCCTGGACCGGGGTTTGAACCAGCGACCTGTTCGCTGAGAGGCAGCAGCTCTACCAGTTGCGCCACCGTGCTGCTAGATATATAGATATGTATATGAATGTATATTCATGTGTATGTATGTATGTATATAGGCATAGGTATGGGTATATATATTTATGGAAACTTACTGCAAAGCCATGAATATTTTAAGTTCTTTATACATATGTATTTTGTTGCTGTGTTTTGTCATGTTCTTTGCAGGTGAACAGACAGTGGCTGGGTGTTTTGCCGTGTGCTCTCTTTGTGTATATTTCTTATATTTTGGAGTCTTACTTTGTCCTTTCTTTCTTTCTATCCTATTAAAAAAATAAATTAATTAAAAAAAATAAAATAAAAAAAACCTACACTAGATAATCACTTGAATAAATATTTCATAACAATGGTGTGGAGAGGATAGCTGTAAGGGGAGAAGGGAGGCCATCTATAAAAAAAATATAAAAAAAAATAGATTTTGTAAATATTATACAACTAGGTTGATTGTTTCAACATTTTTCAAGTATTTATGGTCAAGGTTCGCGTTGCCTGCAGTAAGTCAGCCCAGTGAGAGTCGAACTACCAGGGCTGCCCGTTGTCACAAATTCTGTCCATAACTTTAATGGGGGTGGGGGTGGACCTGTTGGTGCTTTTTGCAGATGATGTGGTCCTGTTGGCGTATTTGTGCCGTGATCTCCAGCTGTCAGTTTGCTGCTGAGTGTGAAGCAACTGGGATGAGGAGTTCAAGTATTTTGGGTTCTGAGTGAGAAAAGAATTGAGTGTGAACTTGACAGATGGTTCGCAGTATTGCTGATGCTGTGCCAGTCCGCTGTGATGACGCAGGATCTGATCTGCAGTGTAAAGCTCCCTGTTTACTCTGGTCAATCTACTTTCCTACCCTCGGCCAAAAAAAACAAGACTACAGACAGATGCAATCAAAATGAGAGTTGCAGGGTAGCTGGACTCTCCTTAGAGATAGAAGGTCAATTATCCAGGAGAGACTCAGGATAGAACCACTGCTCCTCCACATCCAGAGCAGCTAGATGAGATAGTTCAGTCATCTGGTAAGGATGACTCCTAGACACCTCCAGTTTTCCAGCCATGTCTGACTGGGAGCTCATTTGTAACTGAGACCTCATGGATCATTTTGACCTAAGAGCAGCAGGAGGGTTAAATGTTGTTGTTGGTCATACCAAACGCTTCTCAGCAAGGTCTCTCGTACAAATATCAATTTGAAGATCCCTGTGGCAGATGTGGCATTTAAACTTGGCCAACCTTTTCTTTGCAGAGCCCCTGCAGACCCTGGAGTTCCTCATAGGAGAGCATTCTGTGGAGGATTTTTTTTTATTCTTTTAATCGGGCTCCATTCAGACCACAGAGGGGAACTGTAAAATAAATGTGAAAGCCTCATTAAAGATGAACAACATCTCATCTGTAACACTGACAAAAACGGGAAGCAGCAGCAGTAAGTGGAGCCAAAACATCTGTAGTGAAACCAGACAGTTTCCAAAAGTTTAATTTTTGTTCATGGTTACATTGACAGTATGTCCTGTTAGATCTGACGCTGGGTCAGTTAAATCTGGTTCTGACTCAGCAATCTTTCAAGCCTTCATTAAGATATTTTTCTTTTAAGATGAAAGCTGTTAGATCAAGAGAGAAACACATTTTTCTTCCCTAAAGTTCTGCAGCATTTGGCTGCAAAAACGGCTTCAGATTTGAGATTAACGTTTGATGTGGATCTTTGGATCTCATCATGTGGGCTTAGGGTAATGTGGGTAATGAATGTGGGCTCAGGTAAATGCAGTTTTATTTTCTATTGTTTAGTTATTTATATGGTTATTTTTGGTCATTTTGGTTATTTATAGCAGGAATTTCATCCATTTGTCCAGAGTGGTTCCTCTATGAGTCAGACCCTAACAAACCCCTATTTTGAAGAGTGATGGGGCAATCTGCATATGTATCTAGCTTACCTCAGCTTTATAGCTCAACCCCACACTCTGTTCTTTGAACTGAGAAAACTCCTCGGATAAGAAGCGAAAGGTCTTCTGTTAAAAGTAAAGTCCAGATGTTTTTGTCTTGGACCATGGGCACCTTGCTATTTCTGATGAGGATTTTAGCTTCTCAGTCCCTCCAGGAAGTTGGGGTGTTGCAACTTTTAATGCCAAGTCAACCAATCCCACAGATTTTTCTCATTAGCTATGTTTACATGTGCAAAAATTTTTGACAGGATTGAAATGTTTTCAGATTCAATAATTCAAATGTATCGTTTACATGTGCACAATCTGTTCATGACAAGCGTTTACATGCAACAGGCTTTGTTCTGAACAGCAGTACTGACATGCGCAGAGTGGTAAACTCTCCTTAAAAAAAACACAGAAGAAGAAGTTCTACTTCCTGTTTACTTCCAGGATGAATGTAAGCAAAGCTGAGCACCCAAAATGGACCTGCGACAGGTTTTAATGACGGTGGAGACGTTACTGCACTCCCTGACTGAGCTACAGGTGATACGGATCATTTTGAGCTCTTTCAAAGTTTCTAGTAGAAATGTGTCGCTCACCGACAAGTTTTGCTTCCCCGACATGCTAATATTATTAGAATCACCCAGGCAGAAATGACAACGTTGCACATGCGCAGTCAGGTCAGTTTTTCACCATTAGATCAAAACGAACAGATCAAGTGTTTACATGTGCACCGTTCGGGTTATGAATCGACGTAAACCACCGGTTTCGTTCTGATCACATATTATTTCGGATCACGCTGAATAAACAAAAAAATAACCAGGGGGTTTACATGACACGTTTTTATTCAGAATGGCCATTTGATCCGATTACTTATGTCCATGTAAACATAGCTATTGTTGCCATTTTTCACCAATTTTCACAGCTTTTCTGAAAGTTTGGCCTATCACCATCGCCCACTGCCCATGTTCACTTCCTGAAATACTTACCTGCAAGATGAAAACACGCGTCATCCGATATTACTGCAGAATCCTGTGAAAGTCAACTTGTTGAAGTGGTGAAGATTCTCAGTCATCCAGGACATGGTAAATTTTTGAGTGGGGGGTAAAGGAAGCAATTTATGTAAAAAGAGAGAAACCATCTTTAAACAGAGGAGGAGGTCTCAGATTTCAACTTTCAAAAACTTTTAATGCAGCTTTAGGACTTAATCCCAGCCAGTTTCACATCTATCAGATGGGAACCGAGGGGCCTCATCTGTGAAGCCCCTACTGTTAAGGTGTGAGGTGTGATTTGTCAATCTACATATGTATATGTATTTTATCTCAGCTTTATAACCTGAATCCCACACACTCTGCTCTTTGAACTGAGAAAGCTCCTCGGATGAGGAGCGAAACGTCTTCTGTTACAAATAAAGTCCAGTTGTTTTTGGCTTGAACGTTATTGAATTTGTTGAAGTGGTATTAGGTGGAAATCTGTTTTGCACCACATGCAGTTTTGTGATAGACCAGACTATAAGTGATAATAAATGGTGCTTTCCCTCCATTTTGACTGGGAAAAGTGTTTGTCGGCAGAAAGAAGTGTCAATTTGAATTAGGGACAAACTGTCAGGGAGGCATCTGTTTATTCTGTTATCAACAGCTGACAACAAAAATGTGCAACAGAGACATAAAAACATAATAAAATACCCAGTGGTTCACACAGAGGCTGTAATTTATCATATCCTGCAGATTTACTGATCATATAAATTAGGACCATGGCATCAAACAGCTTGGTTCTGTTTGTATCAGTGATATTGTAAATTTTGTAAATTATTTGTTCTTGGAAAGTTAAAGAAATAAAATGTAACTATCACAAGGTTAATTGCAAGAATAAGAAAATGCTGCTGCATTTTAGCAGAAACCTGGAGGAGCTGGTTTCTTGTTGAGGTAATTAAAAAGAGTTAGTTTAGCAGTGATCCTCCAGAGGCAGAACATTATGTTTGATCCGATTATAGTGAACACGTCGTGTTGTGGCTCCCTATTTATTTCCCAGTTTCTGCCGGTCAAAACCACATCATCCTTTCTAAATTATTCCTCCGTTGGAATCGGTCTGATAAACCACAAAAGCAATTTCCCAAAAATGAATTTAAATTTTTTATTCATCAAAACACATAACTATTTTTCCTTTGTTCAAGTGTTTCTAAGTATTTGTACACATGGTGTTGATTGTCATCCAGGACATCGTAAGAGTTTAAGAACAAAGCAACAATCACAAAAAAATGTCTGCCAAATCCTGGAGGGACTGATTTAGGCTAACACTTGGATCGCCACAGGCTCCATTTCTTAAGTTCAAAAAGTTCACCTGATTGGAAGCAAACCATCTTGGACTAACAGAATTAAATCCATTTGATTTGTTTTTAACATTTTTTGTATATTCTTTTTCTCTTATTTTTTAGAATAAATATAGTTTGCGCAGAAATACATTTTTAAATGTTAAAAAAAAAGGCAACAGATTTGATCAATATAAAGTTATGTTGGGATTTTTAGTTATCTCTCAACAAATTTAGCATCCACCTGCAGCCACAGCTAAAGAAATGCCGTTTCACAGAAACACTGTTTTTGAAATGTTCTTCATTTGAACAGAATGAACCTCGGAGCAAAGGTTTGATTTGTGTTGTCATATTCTGTTTGACATCATCCTTGAGTTGAGGCATCTAAAAAGTGACCAGGTTTTGGACTGTTTAAGTTTCTTCTTCCATTCCTTGTTCTTTTTCAGATAAACTCTATCCCAGTTGTCTTCCTCCTCATCGCCCACCCAGGGGCCCCAGGCCCCTCCGTTCAGCTGAGGGTGAGCCCGCGGGTCCTCTGATGGGAACCTGACTGGCACGGCAGTGCGGTTGTAGTACACCAGTCTGGCTAAGAGCTGTTTGACAACATCTGGCCTCTGCTCAGACAGATCAAAGCGTTCGAAGGGGTCCCCGGAGATGTTGAAGAGCCACACTGATTTGCGGGGTTTAACGTGGCGCTCCAGGCTCCACCAGCTGTTGGGGAAGCCTGGGAGGATCTGAGGTGGGATCCAGTCTCCATACCCGGGGTCCCCTGTCAGGAGTTTCCAGTCTCCTGCTCGTATGGAGGCCTGAACGGCCGTATTCCATATCCCGAATCCTTTCTGCAGGGAACCTCTGCGTGCAGGGTTGTACAAAGGGTCGATGTTGTGGAGGATCTCTAATCTAGGCGACTCTTTTCCTTCACTGATTGCCTTCCAGACATTATACCCATCCAGCCCCTCAGTCAGTGACTCATCGCCACCTGCTAATCCCACCAGTGTGGGATACCAGTCAGTAATGTGCACCAAAGCTTTGCTCACCCTCTTCTTCCTTTGTAACAAAGGGCTGTGGACAAACCCCAGACCCCGGACACCCCCTTCCCAGTAGGTGCCTTTACGTCCTCTAAGAGGCCAGTTATTGCCACCAGAGAGCGGCTGGCCACCATTATCAGTGGAGAAAATCAGGACAGTGTTCTGGTAGTATCCATACTTGCGCAGGGCGTATGTTATATTTCGAACAGCTTCATCCACAGTTGAGACCATGGCAGCGTACCTCCTCCGTGCAACATTTTTCAGACCACTGTATGGGTGGATGTACTCCTGCGGAGACTGTAAGGGTGAGTGGACAGCTTGAAACGAGAGAAAGATGAAGAGTGGCTCGGACAGAGGATTGTGGGTCGCCAGAATTTTGCGGACCCTCCGCGTGTACAGATGGGTGGAGTATTTGCCCTTATGATCCCAGGCGACAGACTCCCCCTCATGGAGGTCGAAGCCACAGAGTCCGGGGCCATCACAGGAGTTATAGGTATAGTAGTTCACGCTGCCTGTCAAGGAGCCGAAGTACGTGTCGAAGCCACGGCGGGTGGGTAAACACTCCTTTTTGTAGAAGCCTAGGTGCCACTTGCCCACCATGTGGGTGGAGTAGCCGAGCTCCTGAAGCCTCTGAGGGAGGGTGACCTGGTCAAAGGGCAGGCAGTTGGGCTGGCGGGGACGGATGATGGAGTGCTGGAGACCAGTGTGAATCTGGTACCTGCAGAGTTAAAGATGAGGAAAAGACCACATCAAACAAACAATCAGATCCAAAGCACAGTAAAGTGAGAATCTGACATCAGGTAAGAACGGCTAAAGAGGTGGTGGAGGACCTGAGTTATTTTCTTGAACATTGTGAGCTTGAAAATAAAATGTGTCCAAATGTTTTAGAACATCTTCCTCTATTTTCACTCAAATAACTCAAAAACTTCTGTATGCTGGAAATGTGACTAAAAATTCAATGCATTTTTAAACATGCATTTGATGGACATAAAAACAAAGACAAACCTTAAACGTTAAGACTTTTTGAAATATGCATTATATATTTATATATAGTCAGCATTGAGGATAAAAAACTGAATGGTATCAGATTTTATGATGTTTCCCAGGTTAATAACTGCAAAAAAAAAAAAGAGGATTTAGTCATGTATATAGCATCAATGAAAATGTTAAATAAATGGTTAAAGTAGAGAAACTCCTGTAGATATAAAAGAGGACCAAAAAATATAGAATGCTCATTATATGCTGCGTTTCTGCACTGTAAGGATCAAACTGGTCTGGTTCCCACTCTTCCTCCAGTAATCTTATTGTTATGTGAGGACACACAATATCAACATGTATCCTAACATGCCACTGAATCTCTTAATGACAGCAAAAATTAGGGTTTATTGAAGAGGTGCTGAAAATGTAAATCAGCCGAACAGCATCAGAATCCAAAAAAAAGACCCCCCCCCCCCCCCCCCCCCCCCCCCCCCCCCCCCCACACACACACACACACACACACACACACACACACAGATTTTCACAAAGCTTTCATACTATTCTTATCCCTTGTGCCACAACAGCATTTTCTTGTCACTCATACATTCAATCAGAGAGAATGTACTGGGTCAGGGCCCGACTTCGCATCTTTGTTTCAATCTATGTAGTTTCAATTCAGTTTATTTATATAGCGCCAAGTCACAACAGAAGTTATCTCAGAGTATTGAACAGAAACGTTCATATATAAAAGTAAATTAACAACATTAATTATCAGAGGAGGAGACAACTTTGAGTTTAACTCCATCACAGAACTCTCATCTTGAGCAAGCACGAAGGCAACAGTGGAAAGGAAAAGCTCCCTCATGAGGAAGAAACCTTTAGCAGAACCAGGCTCAGAACAAGTGGCCATCTGCTTCGACCAGCTGGATTAGAGAGGAACAGGAAGGAGGAACAGATACACAATGGAAGGTCAAGAATCACATGTTAAGATATAAATAGTATCAAATGAAAACTGTTCATTTGTAACAATTCATTTTAAGAAATGAGGTTGATTTGTCTTCCAGTAGTCTAAGCCTATGGCAGCATAACAAGCCAACCCTAACTATAGGATTTATCAAAAAGGAAAGTCTTAATCCCAGTCTTTAAACTGGACAATGTGTCAGCCTCATGGACAGAAATTGGAAGTTGGTTCCACAAGAGAGGAGCCTGAGAACTGAAAGATCTTCCTCCCATTCTGCTTTTGGAAACTCTAGGAACTACAAGTAAGCCTGCAGTCTGAGAGCAAAGTGCTCTTTTAAGAAAATATGGAACAATAAGATCTGTAATATAAGATGGATCTAGGTTGTTGAGGGTTTTGTAGATTAGAAGTAAGATTTTGAATTCTATTCTGAGTTCGACACCGATAACACATCATATCTTATTACACTGCCTGATGAACACAATGCTACTTGAGTCCTTGATCAGAAATGACGTTTCAGCTTCACATTACACAGCTGAATCAATTTTGTTTTCCTTTCTATTTAAGGAAAGCTGCTAAACTCTAACCACTACTTTAGATAACCTCTAGGAAACCATGGTGAACACCTTGTGTTTACCTTGTTAATGGCATTGTAACTATGTTGTCACCTGTGTTACTTAGTCCTCTGTGGTCTCTGTAGTTGGTCCTCCATTGTACCAGTCTCCATTAAATCAATCATATTGTAGTCTAAAATACATTCTTCTCCATTTATTTTGTAAGTATATGTGAAAACCTTTAGTCAGTGTTTACATTTGTGTTTGCATCTACAACAAAAGAGTAATCCAAGATGGACTATACCTGCCGGTGATGAACTGACTCCTGGACGGGGTACAGATGGGCTGAACGTAATAATTCTCCAGCTTCACTCCGTCTGCAGCGAGCTTATCCAGCACCGGCGTCCTAATGTCCGAGCTGTGATAGCCGATGTCGTTGAACCCCTGGTCATCTGTCATGATGAAGATTATATGAGGAGGCTGTGGGACGGGAAACCTGCCTTGAAAAGTCTGGTCGGGCTCATTTTCCACCTGGTTGGGGCTCATCAGATCCCAGGTCAGGTACCCGATGCTGAGCAAGCTCATCATGGAAAACCCAGTCAGAGCTGTTGTTGCCATGGTTCCTTTGACACCAGCTCATGAAAGCCTGCTAATATTTCATACAGGGTCAGCAAATCATTTTGCAGAAAGAGAGAGATTCTCTCATTCCGACCCTTGGTGCGCTACAGCTGGTTAAGCAATCCGAAACCTACAAGAAGAGCCACACATTCATCCTCACAGACTTTCCAAACTGTGCCAGCCCAAATGAAAGTATTTCACTTTTCCTAGAGGTCCATTTAACCCCGCCTATTTGCCTCCCTGGACCACTAAAGTAACATCAGCCCCACGCCTCCAAAAACACACAAAGGTAAAGTAACACCACTAACTCGAGGTGCTTAAATCCAGGAACTTCCGTCAAATGCAGACGTGCTAAATGTGATTCTGTTGCAAACACGCCCATGATCCACCCTCCTCCTCTCCACCAATGTTCCTTGATAGTTATCAGAATTCAGTAAACTGATGCTATCTTTATAAATTAAAGGGAAAAAACATGTTCTCCTCTGATGAGGCGTGCATGCTGGGCAGATCATCTACTGTAAAAGACCCTCCCTCACAAAAATATAGTACATGCTGGGAGGAGATTTGAGTCTCAGAGCAGCTGTGGGGCCCTGAAGTTACAATCCCAGACTCTGTTCCCCTCTCAGCTTTGCAGCGGCGGCGAACACTCTCCTTCTATTCCTGCTGTTTTATGAGTGCCTCAAACCTGAGGAGCGAGACAGCACAGACTTCCTCGAGTCCGATAACATCTCCAAGAAGGAGTCAAAGAAGCACTTTACGAACCACCCCTAGGGCCCAACCAAAAGCAGCAGGACTGAACAGCTTCAGCTGCAGTTAGAGGTACCACAACACCAGGTCTGTGCAGACCTGTCAGATGCTGCAGGTTCAGAATGGAGACTAAGACTGGAGAAAACTACATATAATAGATTACATATCCTGATGCATGCTCAATAAACCAGGTAGAAAAATCTAAAAAAAGTTAAACGTTTTTTGTTGTTTTGCTTTGTTTTGTTTTTTGAATGTCCAGAGGACGAGATTTAACTTATATAGATAATAGATATACAGTACTGTAGTGTGTAAAACTGGAAGGAGATGAGCTGAATACTTTGAAATATTTTCAGAAATGCAACAGTCAACCGGAAAACTGCTTTCCAAGGAATTTTCTGCACTCAATCATGTTACTTCATCTTTCTGTCAGGGTGAATTGAAACGTACCCCCAATCAACAGATGTTATGCGCAAAAGTCCTAATGCTCTATGTCTATCTTAGTAAAATACCTGGGTGATTTTTCCAGGAATTGGATACAATTTTGATTACGTATCTCCTAATTTGATGCATTTATTATGGAACAAACTTTACAAAACAGTGATTACTGAGGTGAAACATTGTCTGCAGACATAATAATTGATTTATTGAAGACAGGAACTGATAAAATGTCATCCACTGGAACTGTTGATGTATGGGCGCTGTAAAATAGCAAAAAGAGGAATGAGCTTATTCCCTGAAGAGCGCAAAGCTGTGGCTGCTCATGTTTATCCAGCAGCTGCAGCAGCATCTTTGGTGTGGTGCTTCAGAGTTTAATACGTGTCAAACCTGGAAAGGGCGAAAAAATGATTGAGATGCACTTTCAGTTTTATACTCTAGAAGTTTTAGGGTGAGCAGCTTGAATATCTATGAGGCTTCGCAAAAATCCTGGGGAAAAAATCATGGATGATGTCCAGTTGAATGAAGTTGATACTGGTCCATAAAAATTTAATTAAAGGGTTTGAGTCATCACAGAGGCTACAAACAGAACAGGACAGAAGGTAATATCTCTGAGTGGTTTTCAAATAAATTAAAAAAAGAGCAGTTTTGGGGCGGCCACACTCATGAGGCGTGAATCGACTGTTTTCTGTTGGTCAGAGTTTCAGCTCCATGAGTCAACAACAACACTGCTCATGCCCACAGAGTATGAAGACACTGACACAGGTATTAACAGAAGCATGCATTGCTTTTAGTGGACATTTTCTGGTCCTTTGTCACGTGGCCAAAATATTCAACCATTACCCAAAGATGTTGTAATGTCTGTGTTTATGAAAAGACTGACCTCACAACCACCAGAAACCTGAATTTTAATAACCTATATAGGATAAATATACATTATGTTTGGTTTCTCAACGTTTTTTGTTTTTTTTAAGAAATATTTGTTTGTTTTGCAGTTAAGTCTAAAATTATGTTAACAGATTGGCTTCGTTGTTAACCTCAGCTGTTTAATTACAGTAACAGCGTGATCATTTTAAACTTTGTGGTCTGGTGTGGGGAAAGGTCACAGGAAACAAACGAGTACCTGCTCTGGTTCAGTACCAAGAAAAATTACCATAAGTGGGATTTGTTTTTTTTGTGCCAAGTCTCTTCATATTTACTTTTTTAACACAAATTTTGAATAAAAAAATTTAAACATTAATTATTAATCCTAAAACCTACAAATGTCTCAAGACCTTATTTTTTATTTTATTTATTTATTTATTTGTTTATTTTTGTGGGGGTGGCATCTGTTACTGACTTAAGTTTTATTATTATTACTAAATGAGATAATTAATAACAATTTATCTTAATTTTCTACAATTTTCCCAAGGAAATTAACATGAAACATCATAATTTAAAACCTCTTTGATTTAACATGGCACTATATAAATAAACTGAATTGAACTGAATTAAGTTGGACTGAATTAATCACAAAAAAGTTAACTTTTCTTTTTGTGATTTCTCTCTTTTATTTAACTTTAATGAAAAATTCTTATTTTAAACACATTTAAGTCTGTTTTCTTTCAAATAAATTTCATAACATGCACTAACGAGACTCATCGTGTTGATATTTGGATTTTTTTTTTTTTAACTCTGTTTACCTTTCATCTTTTTTCCTAAATTTATACCAAAATTAAGCTTCAAAAACACAAATCGATTAAATATTCTTGTTTATTTTCTGTATGAGAATTCCCAGTACTTGTTAATGCTTCCCACCTTTAAACAGCCTCACAGTCTGTGAAATGCAATAATCACTTGAAAGAGTTGAAATTGGAGGATGACGGGGAGTGGGGGGGAGTGGGGAGGGGGGGGGGTGCTGTTGCAACTCTGTGTTGGTCTGCACTAGATGTTAGTCTTGGCATAAGGAAGAGTTACTGTTACTGAATACGACTGCTCCCCTTCACCATGAACACTACCCTCTTTCTAATCAAGGCAGCCCTGCCCGTAAAGCGGCACATTACTCCCCCCTCTCTTACCCCTAGTTTACTAATCTGAGTAAGACTGGACGGAGGTGTTTTTATTCTCCTGTGTGCCAACATTAAGCCTAAACCTTTGCTTAATGTCTTTCAGCTTGTGCCCTCTCTGTTATGTACACTGGTGCTCTTGTTTCAGCACTAGTCGAGCCTTCATTTTGTCATCTTTAATCAATTTCTCAACAGCAGATCAGAAAAAGGTGTAATTTGGCAGCCAAAATAAGTTTGCAAGCATTTGTGGACATTTACCAAATGACAGCAGAAAGCGAAAATAAACCCTCCCAGAAAAGGTTGACCTGAAGGGTGAAAGGCTTGGATCATCGCAGCACCAGAATAGGCCCAAAGCAAAAGAGCCATGGCAGCTGAGGGCCACCACAGGGGGCAAGAGTCAAAGGACCTGGTTGTGCAAAAAATGTTCTTGAGAGTACGGAGAAAAAAGGTAAAAGGGTGTAAGATGTTACTTAGACTGGGTCCATATAGCTAAAAATCTTGGTTTTCACATTTCAAACCAGCAAAATGAGGGCCGACAGAAGAAGCAGAAGATGGTAGTCATTCCATACAAACATGGATAAATTTATTGGTAGCCTTACAACTTATTGAAACCATGTCTCAATTATTGTGGATAGTGATCAATTTAAACACAATTGCCTAATGGATATCTGCATTCCTTTAGTATAAAGGACCCTATAAATGACCCTAACAGATTCTGGAAAACCATCAAATCTCTCTCAGGTACCCCCCAATCATCTGACCTCCCATCACAACTTCTCGTTAACTCTGTTCCTGTGTCAAATAAGCACGAGATCCTGAACTGTTTCAACAAACATTTTGTTGTTTCTAGTTCTTTATTTGACACAGTTACTAATGGAAAATCAGCCACTTCACTTAATAACCAAACTTTTACAAATCAAATCTGTCCTACAAGTCAATCCTCAGTTAATCACACCTCAAACTTGTCCTAAATGCCGATAAAACGAAAGGGATGCTTTTTTCAAATAGGAAGTTGGTCCCAGCAGTTCTTCCTTTGATTTCATCCTCAAATGATGTCCTGATTGAGTTTGTTGATTCCTATAAATATTTGGGTATCTTGGTCGACTCACATCTCTCTTTTAAGCTTCACGTGGAAAACCTAGTAAAGAAACTGAAAGTGAAACTGGGTTTCTTTTTCAGAAACAGATCCTTTCTAACTCTGAATGCTAGGAAACACCTTGTAACTGTGACTTTCCTTCCCTCCATTGATTACGGTGACATTATTTACATGAACGCTCCTACAAGAACCCTGCAGATGTTGGATGCTGTCTATCATGGTGCACTAAGATTCATAACTGGCTGTGATTATCGTACCCACCACTGCACCCTGTATTCACTGGTTAACTGGTCATCATTAACTTCACGCAGACTCTCTCACTGGTACATTTTCATCTTTAAATCACTTCTTGGTCAGCTGCCTTCATACATCTCCTCCTACATGTCTCTGCGTGAGTGCAGCTACAGCGTGCGCTCTCAGGACATTATTACCTGCAGTGTTCCCTCAGTGAGGACTGAACTAGGCAAACGGACCTTCTCCTACTCCGCTCCTGTTTCCTGGAATATCTTACAAAAAGATTTGAAGCTCTCGACCTTGACCTCTCTAAGTGGCTTTAAGAATCTGTTGGACTCCTGGCAGGGACCAATGCAGACATGTTCCTGTTTTTAGTTTTCTACATTCGCCTTAGAATCTAGCTGTTTTTTTTTTTGTTTTTTTTTGTCATCTTATTTGCAAAAAAAAATAAAAAATCTGTATGCCTTTTTATATTTGCCTATTGTTGTTGTTGTTTTCCATTGTTTTCATCATTCTTTGTTGAAGTTAGGTCTCTCTTGTAAATGAGTCCTCGAGGCTCAATGGGATTTACCTGTCTAAATAAAGGTTGATTGAATTAATGAAAATAAAAATACGTAAAAATATGTGATTTGTTGGTTATTTTCAAAGTTGTGCCAAAACAGTGAGTAAAGATTTGTTGGTACACATGAGGAGACTATTAATCTTTACATTATCATATTTCAAACTAAGTGTTTGGTCTTAATTAGTATCACAGGTGCCTTAAGCTTCTTATCAGACAGACAGCCTGTTTAAAGGGAACAAACATTTTGTAGAGAAAGTAAAGGTGAGAGAGGTCTAAGAAGTTCAGAAAAAAGAGGTATGTAAACAGGGCTTAATTTGAGCCGGATCCTGTTAGAACAGGATATAGGAATTTTCTTATTTTGACAGGGTACGTTCTGGTAACTGTTTGCTTGGATTTGGCAACTCTCAGGCTTACTAATAAAGTTATGAACAAATATGACATCTTTGAATGAAAAAAAAATTATATTGGCTATATAACTGAAAATAATTACATAAACACTCTTTTAAACACAACAGCCACTTAAGAGCACACGAGCTGCCTCTTCAAGTAGCATTTCTGCGTACCCTTAAAAAAATCTCAGCTCCTAAAAGTGGGTGAGTGCTGAGCTAACCAGGCAGGTTAGTGGGCAGGAGCCCACAGGCAGCTGCAAGCAGGTGTTTGAAAGTTTCACATGTGGAGTTGGACAACAACAAGCAGGGACAGTGTCGAGCTCGAGTTACTTGACGGTTCCGACAAGTAAGGAGGGGGGTGCTTGACAGAAGCAGAGTGTTTGTAGGTAAACAGTGTTAACAACCTGTTAAAATACACCAAAATGCAGGAAATCGCATCTACTTTATTCACAATTTTCTGGGGGAGGACCCACAGACCCCCCTCCCCCCATCCCCCCCTCCAGGGGCAGTCTGCCTGCTATTTGCATTCCAGCACTGATCGGTTTACAAATTAAGCCCTGCTTGTAAATCCAGGTAAAGACTTCTCCAAAACTGTCTCCAAGCAGCTTCATGTTTCTGTGACCACAGCTGCTTATATTATTACAAGCATACATTTCATAGGACTGAAGCCAACCTCCCGAGATGTGAACGCAAGAGGGAATGTGCCCCCTGCTAAATCAGATGTATACTGCAAAACTATTGGTGTTCAATTATTCAAGCTGAACACCAAGATCAAGGTACGTCGGTTTCTGATTGAACCATTTTGAACCATAATGAGCTTCAAGGAAGACAGAGGGCAAAAAATATATAAAAGTGTCAAACAGGAATTTGTCGAAATGCATGACAAGCCTCCATGTTTCTGGGACTGCTGAGATGATACAGGAGCTTTAAGGCAAAGTTAAGACGCTGTTCTTTTATTATTATTATTATTATTATTATTATTGTTATTGTTATTATTATTATTATTATTATTATTATTATTATTATTGTGGAAGGATACCAACAAACATATCCCCAGTTATAACAATTCATCCTTTCAGTCAAAAAAGGTGCATGACAGGATTGAGAAGTCCAGAGGTTGAAGGAACCACTTGTAGATATACAGCAGTTTTTGTTTCAGAATTAAACCGGTCAATCAGGTGCTTCACTGAGCTTGTGTGGTTGTGAGACTTCAATGGTTTACCATGAATCCAACCACAAGTCACATCCTTCACTGTCAGTGGTGCAGGAAGCAAGTAAGATCTTTAAAGTTGGGTTTCTGTTTCTGTACCTTCCATTGATCTGAACTTTTCTTCAACATCAAAAGGTAAGATCAGTGAGATTCTCTCCCCTACGAACGTGGGAGCTCACAGGTGAGATGATGCAGACCTGGAGTTTTGGCTCGGACTCTAATTGAAAGTAAATTTGATTTGGCTCTAGAAGTGCTCTTGAAGTGAACTGGAGTGCAGTAAAGTAATTTCCTGTAAAATAGACCTTCATTTACAGGATAACTTGTACAAATATTATGTGTCATTTTACTGCCTCTGGGCATCAAAGTGAAGGGAAATGTTCAATTTTGGTGTTTTTTGTTGTGTTGAACAATCTTTAGTTATTTAAGCTTCTGCTTCAATGAGTCTGTTTTGCACAAACTAGTGTTTATTTAATCACTTTAGAGAAAAAAGGTATATATATATATATATATATATATATATATATATATATATATATATATATATATATATATAT